GGGTATGCAGGGGGGGCGTGGGGGCGGTTAGAGGAGTCCAGGGGGTGGTCGCACCCCGCTTCTACCCCCCCTCCCCACTTTGCTCCCTTTTTGCCCAAGCCCGGAGTTTCAGCCTTTCCCTGGAGAGGGACAGCGCCCCCCTGCCGTCCCCCCCTTCCTGCCCGCGGGGAGGGAGCAGCTTCCTCCCCCGGACACAGGTTGGACGGGGCGGCAGGTTCCCCCGGCCCTTCTCCCTCCCCGGAGCGGGTGGCTGCAGCAGCCCGGGACACCCTGCCCGTCCGGGGCCCCCCCCCCGCCCCCCCCCCCCGCCAGCCTTCGAGGCAGCAGAGCCGGTCGCCATTCCTCGGGACAGGTGGCCAGGGCAGCCCCGGGGCCAGCACCGGGTCAGCTCAATCCTCTCGCTTCTAGCCAAGTGCCTTAAAAGGAGGGGGAAGACCCACGTTTTCCGAAATCTCTTGAGTTTGCTTTTTTGGAGGGCAGAGAGGACTGATCAGATGGAACAACTCCAGCCACGAGCTGTCCTGGGTTGTGTGACAACCTTGTGGCCATGGGATGGTGAGGTGCAGAGAGAGGAGCTGTGCAGGGGGACAAAACCCCCTTCCAGGGACAAACATTATCGAGGCTGGAAGGAAAAAACAGAGATGGGGGGTTTGCAACTCATTGTGTCACCGAGGAACTAGCACGGCGTGGGCTGCTGAGGCTGCCTGGGGCCAGGGTGCTCCAAAACCACCCGTCCCTGTGTCCCTGGCCAAGCTTTTTCCTGCTGCACATAAAGGACTTGTTATTTCAGTCCCCAGCAAAGAGATCCTCATGTTTGGAAAGGGAGCGAAGGGCAACAAAGATGATTCGAGGATTGGAGCATCTCCCTTATGAAGAAAGACTGAGAGAGCTGAGACTCTTCAGTCTGGAGAAGAGAAGGCTGAAGGGAGACCTTATTAATGCTGACAAGTATCTCAAGGGTGGGTTGAAGGAGGAGGGAACCAGACTCTTTTCAGTGGTTCCCACTGAGAGGACGAGGGGCAACGGGCACAAGTTGGAACATAAGAGGTTCCACTCAAATATGAGGAAAAACTTCTTCACAGTAAGGGTGACAGAGCCCTGGAACAGGCTGCCCAGGGAGGGTGTGGAGTCCCCTTCTTTGGAGATTTTCAAGATCCGCCTGGATGCTCCTGAGTAACATGCTCTGACAAGCTCTAGGTAATCCTGCCTCAGCACAGGAGTTGGACTAGATGATCTCTATGGTCCCTTCCAACTCCAAAAATTCAGTGAAATTCAGTGAGCTGGGAGCGTGGGGTTGGAAGGAGGGGTGAAATGCAGCCCCCCCCAGCAGAGCTGGCTGGGAGCAGGCGAGCTGCAGTGCCTCACCTGGAGCATTCACCCCCCCAGGGTTATCAACGCCGAGAAGTCGGAGTTCAACGAGGACCAGGCGGCCTGCTGTCAGATCTCCATCCGGAGGAGGGAGCCGGGCCTGGAGGAGGATGAGGAGTGGCTGATCCTGTGCTCCACGCAGGTACAGCCCGTGGGCAGGCCGTGCTCACCCTGCTCCCAGCCCCGCTCTGCACCCAAGGTCCCAGCTACAAGAAGCACAGGGTTCATGCCATGTGCAAAAATCCTTCTTTGGATGCATTTCGGGGGCCCACGTACACTGTGTCTGGCCACCAGCTCTGCCCCTACGTGCCATTTCTATCTCCTTGGCCCCTGCTTTGCAGCATCTGAGGTCATCCAAGCCTTTTACTCGGTGCCCTCACCTTTCCTTTACTGTCCTTGCTCTGCTTTCGAGGGCTGGTGGGTGCTGTCATCACTGGGGGACAGCAGCATGAAGCAGGTCTTGTCCCTCTTCCCCACTGCAGTTCCTGACTGGCTACTACTGGGCGCTGTTTGATGGCCACGGGGGCCCAGAAGCTGCCATCATCGCCTCCAACTATTTGCACTACTGCATCAAGCAGAAGCTGGAGGAGGTCGTGGGAGGCATCACAGAGGCCCGGCCCCCCATGCACCTGAGCGGGCGCTGTGTTTGTGACAGCGACCCCCAGTTCGTGGAGGAGAAGCACATCCACGCAGAAGACCTGGTGGTGGGAGCCCTGGAGAACGCCTTCCAGGAATGTGTGAGTATCCTACACCAGACACCCATCCTGCTGCCCCAGGCAGTCGGGCTGTCCCTCCCTGGTCCAGGGTGGGCAGGCTCTGCAGTTCTGCAGCTCATTGAGCAGGCAGGAACATTTGGCCAAACCTGAGATCGCGCTGGGTCCGCTCCCCAACTTCTGCCCCGGATCTGGTGCACGTTGGTGGTGCTGACCCAGAGCAAACCTGCAGCATCTCAGCTGAACTGCACCCAGGGGATGCATTTCTTCGGTGCTAGATGGTGGCTCGTCAGACTTGCACAGCATGTACAAGTTTGAGATCTCCCCATCACACTCCTAATGTGGTCATTAGTCCAGCAGCAACATCATTCTTCACCTTGCTGGTTTCCCGTAGCCCATCTGCGATGGGTTTTGGCTCTGGATTTCTGCTGGCGGGCAGGAGGCAGCTGCAGAAGACAGCAGCCCGGCTCATGTCACTCTCCAGACTTGTTTAAACCAACAGGATGAAGTCATTGGCCAGGAGATGGAAGCTACGAACCAGAGAGGAGGCTGCACTGCTCTGGCTGCCCTTTATTTCCAGGGGAAGCTGTACGTGGCTAACGCTGGGGACAGCAGGTGAGTCGCAGTAAAAGGGGGAAGTGGCTGGGGGATGAGAGCTGGGAGATAAGCAGGGTTTCCACCTTCTGATTTAACCCTATAGAAGGTAAACATGCAACCCAGCCATTTCCTTCCCGCCTGCCCCAGGAGCTGTTGGGTGGATGGATGCTCTCATGCCTCCTGGAAGGGTTTTGGGATTTCAAGGGACTAATGGTGCCCAGCCACAGGGCAGCATCGGGACGGTAGTGCCAGCAGTAAGCTCAGCCTGGAGGGTGTTTGAAAGTGGAAGGTGATTTCAGATCATCATAAAGAACTTCCTCATCTGGCCTCAGCCCACTGTTCCTCTCGCGTGAGCCCTCCCATTGTGAAACCAGGCAGGTTCAGTTCTCTGCTGCAACAGTGCAATGGCAAGGGAGTTATTTAATATACACTGGCATTTTTAAATGTTCCTGGGTGCAGAGCTGTTCTCTGGCCTTGCTCTGCTGCTGGTTACCCCCGGTCCCACACCTGGCTGACCCTCTGTAAGAGGAAGGCTGAGACCTCGGTGAGGATGGACACAGCTCAGCTCTTTGCCTCTTCCCCCTCAGGGCAATTCTTGTTCTGAAGGACAACGTCGTGCCCATGAGCTGCGAGTTCACACCCGAGACAGAGAGGCAGCGAATCCAGCACTTGGTGAGTGACTCCTTCCACACATCAGGCAATCCAGCTGTGAGCACCCCAGCAGGTCAGAGAGGGCTTGTGGCAGGAGCACCACCAGCTTTCCTCGAAGGCCATTCTGGGGCCAGGATGTCATCTGGCACTAGCTAAGGAGGGCTGGGGGCAAGATTCAATCAACAACCTTCAGAATGGGAGATGCTGACGTCCTCCCTGGGATGTGCTTTCCCACTTCTGTTCTCCATTCTGCTGCTGGGATTGCCAGTCCCAAGGCAGAAGCAGTTTTGGTGCCCTGCTCTGGTGAAGGACACCAAAGTACCCTTCACTCATGCCTGCCTTCTCTCCATCCATCCTCACACCTTTCTTCCCTCCTCCAGGCTTTTCTCTTCCCCAAGCTCCTGGATGGTGAGTTCACGCGCTTTGAGTTTCCACGGAGGTTGAAGGGAGATGACGTGGGCCAGAAGGTCCTGTACCGGGATTACTTCATGGAGGGCTGGTGAGTCCTCCCTGCCTGAGGAGAAGGCTGTGGCACGGGGCAGCTTTACCTGCTCATAGCGATGGGGAGGAGAAGAGAGAAGGGCCGTGCCCCACTGGAGAGAGCAGTGGGCTTAACAGTGCAAAGCCATGCCAGGTGAAGTGAAGGATGCTGTGAGCAGCCTCCCCCCCAACTGGAGGAGTGGGACCCTGGCAGAGAGGTTAGGGAACAGTTGGGATGGTCCTCCTGGGATCCTGCAAAGTGGAGCTGGTGCAAGGAGCCCCAGTCTGGTGCAGGTACAAGCTGAGGAGGAAAGGAAGAGGGAAAAACACCTGGGCGTTCAGCAAAGGTCATTCTTCACTGCATCTGCTTCAGCAGGTCACCTTGCCCCTGCTTCTGTCAGCTGCTTGTGCGTGGGGGCACCACGAGGGCTGAGCCACAGCTGAAATGTCTGAATCCTCTGTTCTAGGGGATACAAGACGGTGGAGAAAGCCGACCTCAAGTATCCTCTTGTCCACGGTCATGGGAAGCAGGTAGCTTGATGTTTTACTGGGAAGGCAGAGGCAAAGCTGCTGGGGGTCCTCAGTGTCCCCATCCCCCATGGTCATGCTCTGGGGCTCTAGGGCAGCCCCAATGCAGCCAGCTCCCTTCGCTAGGACCCCGCTGCCTGGTTAGTGCAAACCAAAGCCCTCTGGAGCAGCGAGGTTGCACCATCCAGAGAACCTGGCAGCAGAGCAGGTGATGGCAGCCCTCAACCTGCCCGCCCTTTCCTCATCTCCCCTTCCTCACAAGAATTCATTTGGGATGAAAGCTTTATTCATCCATGCACTTTGGACGGCCTCCTCCAGCTCTAACGAACCTTCTTCTTCAAGGAGAGGATGAGAAGAGGAGCTGGGAGAGGGCAGGAGGGGGCAGGGAGAAGCAATGACCACACACATCCAGTGTCTGCTGGCTGGGGTTCAGCAGAAAGAGCCCCGTCACTTCCCCCACCTCTACAACCCACATCCTGCCCCCTTTGCAAGGAGTCAGTGCAGAACCTCCTTTGCCAGGAGAAAGGACTTCCCTCTCTCCTTTTTTTTCCCTCCAAACCAACCCACTTTTCTTCTTTGCCACCCCAAACCAAGGGTGCCACCAGGGGCGTTACCCAGAGTGTGTGCTATTGGCCACCCCAAACCAAGGGTGCCACCAGGGGCTGCCTGAGGTCTGCAGCGTTACCCAGAGTGTTAACTCCAGAGCACACAGCAGAGCTGTGCACGTGCAGGCTGGCTGTCTCCATGCTCACATCAGGCCATCACTTCTGACCACTCCTCCATCTCTCCAGTCTCCAGGGGATGCTCTGGGTGATGCTTGAAGGGTCCTAAAGGCAACACGTAGGTCAGTTGGGACAAGCCACACGTCAGCCCTCAAAGGTGCCACATCCTCACGTTTCAATACTGTTTTTGCTTTGTCTGGGGCCAGGCTCGCCTGCTGGGGACCCTGGCTGTCTCGCGAGGTCTGGGGGATCATCAACTCAAAGTCATCGACACCAACATCGAAGTCAAACCTTTCCTCTCCTGCATTCCCAAGGTCAGTCGTGGCACGTGGGAATTGCAGGGTGGAATGAAACGTGCTGCTCCCCAATCTGTAGCACCCACCTTTTGCAGACCTGGCAGGTCTTAGCTCCTTTTCCATCCTCCATCTCTCTGCAAGCTGCTCAGAGAATCCCAAAGATGGAGTAATCTAGAAGCACAGCAGCAAGGGGACATTAGAGACCCAAAGCACCCTGGTCCCACCTGAAGTCATCTGTCAGACCCCTCTGGTGCCTTGCAGGGATTGTCACTGATTTACTCCTGTCCTTTCCAGGTGAACGTGTTTGACTTTGCTCTGCATGACATTAAGGAAGATGACGTCCTCATCATGGCAACTGATGGCCTTTGGGATGTTCTGAGCAACAAAGAGGTGGCCCATATGGTCAGGAGCTTCCTTGCAGAAAACAGGACAGATCCTAACAGGTAAAACCAGCTTTGTCATCGTTTTCCCTTCCAGAGAACCTGGTCAGACCAAAAGCAGGCTGAGATCACTCTGCTTCTAGGTCAGCTCCAGCATGACCAAGCGCTCTTTTCTGTGACTCTAGAAACTGCCTCTGCATCTCCCCATATCCTAAAGGAACACTTATATAAGGCTGTTGTCTACTACTTTGACAACACAAAGCTACACCTCAGTGATGTTCTCAAGGGATAGTGCCACCTACAACTACATCTCACATTCTTTTTTCCACCCACAGATTCTCAGAACTGGCCAAGTGCTTGGTATGCAGAGCAAGGGGAAAGAAGAGAGGCCACCAGTGGATGCTGGATGACAGCCAGGAGGCATCCTACGACGACATCTCTGTATTTGTCATCCCACTGCACAACAGGGATGAGGACTGACCCTTGGACGCGGGAACTCGATGTCCCCCCTGCTGTGGTGCTGGTCAGCATCGACCCGACACCGAGGGATTTGTGCTGTGCATGTACACTCTCTTCCAGCAAAAACATCTGCAGCAGGACCTGAAAACGCACAGTCAGCACTTACAGGGATGAGGACTGACCCTTGGACGCGGGAACTCGATGTCCCCCCTGCTGTGGTGCTGGTCAGCATCGACCCGACACCGAGGGATTTGTGCTGTGCATGTACACTCTCTTCCAGCAAAAACATCTGCAGCAGGACCTGAAAACGCACAGTCAGCACTTACACAGAAGATCAACAAGAACATTAGCTCGTTAAGAACATGCAAGAGAGCAGCAGTGGGCAACAAATCATTGCCCAGAACGGGCAGAACGGGATGGCGTCAGCTGAAGTGTCCCTGAATCCACTTTACACAGAAGATCAACAAGAACATTAGCTCATTAAGAACATGCAAGAGAGCAGCAGCGGGCAACAAATCATTGCCCTTCTTTCTCTTCACTGGGCCAAGGAGACATCGCAGAGGGGGCCACGCACGAGGAAGATCTTGTGGTACAAGACTGCCAAGATCTTTATTGTACAGTGAGCCCCAAATCCACGTTTCTAGTCACCCCTTCCCCTTTTTAATATTGAGGAACGAGGATCAGTTGAGATCCAACGGGCCTCAAGAGCTGCGTTTTAATCAGACTTAGGAACTAAGTTGTACAGAACGGGATGGCGTCAGCTGAAGTGTCCCTGAATCCACTTGCTGTGGGGTGGGATGCGCTGGAAAGGCAGGAGCTGCTGCCGAGGCAGCATTGGGCACAGCCCTGCCCAGCACGGATGCTGATGCCCTCCCTGGACCTCTTGAGAAAGCTCTGCCACTTGTAGGCAGCACCACCTCCCAACAGACGGGGTGGCAGACGGAGCTCCACGTGGCTGTACGGGAGGCTCCGGTGCAAAGAGAGTGCCTTACTGTGATTTAAGTACATTTGTACGTTACGTGACGTGCTAATTTCTAACAAACCTGAGTCCCCAGCGCTCGCTGACGCATTTTCTGTTCACTCGGGTGACTTCTGACAGCGGAGCTGGTCTTGTAGCCATAGCCCTTCTGGGAAGGGAAGCATTTAATCTAAATTAATTCTAATTCAGAGTGGCTGCAAGTAGAATAAAGCCGGCCCGTACGCTCCTTGCGACAGGAACAGCAGCACAGAAGACACCCCAAACCCAGTCGTGCCTTAAACTCTGCAGATCCGCTTCCCAAGTGGTGCATTAGGCAGGGAAACTCAGATCTGGACACACTTCCCCAGTCCCCACTTCTGTTATTACTCATTACACAAGTTGTGATACTCCCGAGAAAAGCGGATGAAAGTTCAAATAAAAGTCCTTTCCCCCCCATATGTCTTACTGCAGTTTTATTCCTGTCAGTGGTATTACACAGACCTGGGATGGAGAAAAACTACTTTAGAAAATGGCAGAAAGGGGGAGTTTTTGCTTTGGATGTCTCTTTTCCAAAAGCCAGTGTTGTTAGTAGAAGTATTCCTGGCCCAGGTGCTTTCCTCCCACCTGCAGTGGGAGGCCTGGATGGAGGAACGGGGCAGCCCTTTCAGCCACCTCCCCGTGGTTTCAGCAGGGGAGAGAACAAAAAACATATCTCTAACTTTGCTCTTCCCCAATCCTCTCAAGTTGAACCTGAAAACGATGCATAGTGTTTTACAGATGTTAACCCACTTCTGGTTGCCCCCTACAGCAGCTGTAATGCTGGAGATACATTGACTGCACTGATCAAGCCTCCCGTTAATCCCACCCAACAAGCTCTTTTTCCACCTTCCCACTGAGACAGGGCTCAGCTCTTCCATCCAGAGCACAGGCTCCTGCAAACACCCCTCTACACCTCGACACGTGGCTGTCCCAGGACTGCTGCCCTGTCCTCATACATTCCTGGGCAAGAAAAGCCTCTCAAAACAGGCAGTTTATGTAGGGATGGCTTCAGAGCATCAGAGTTTTCACTACAGAGCTTCACACTTTACAAAACAGAAAAAAACCCCACAACCATGGATGATTTTCCCATTCCCCCTCTGAGCAACCAGTGAGTTGTATCACACCGGACAAAGGCAGAATTTACAGCACTCGGTGATCTCTCTACAAAATATTTATTGTTAACAGCCACAACATTGAATTCTCCACATACGTAGTATTTTGTGACAAAGCATAATTTGACTTGACGTATTTACACCCAGGAGGCAGACTCCCCGTACCAGCTCACGACCAGAGAGACCAGTTCCCAAAAGGCTCACCAGGATCCTCGCCCCTGACCCAAAACCGAGGTGAAGTCTCTTAAAGTGCAAATATAGTCAAGGGGCATTGGAAAATAGACACTGCTGCTTCCAAACTTGTTCCTCGGTTGCTCCTGTGTCCCCCAGAGCAGGGGCTGGGACTCAACCAAGGACCCGGGGGACTCAAAACTCTCAAAGACCAACTCAGTTACACCCCAAGTCTCCTTCAGCCCAAACAGATGTGCTCCCTCCCCCCCCAACTTATTTAGAGAGGGGCTGTTGAGTCTCACTTCCCTCTTGCTTTGAAGGTCTTTACGTCATCCCAAACAACACGGAGGGGAGGGATTAATCTTTTAAACATCAAATTTGGGAAGGGAACGCCGTTTCCTGCTTGGCTTTACGTAAGGTTGGAGACTCCACTAGACCCAGGAGTGCTGTTTTTAATGAGGTTTCCAATTAGGCAGCTGCCCTGAAGAGCACAGGAATCCCAGTCCTGATACTTTTAGAGAATCACAGAGCAGCTGGAAGCTAAAAGCTTTATTCACCTTCTGACCCTCCAGAAACACGCCACGCTCAAGTTTCTTGGCCATACTTGGCCCATTTCCCTCTCTTTAAAGGCAGACGGAAAACGCCCAGTGCTACATCACCCCAGAAAGGAGCCTCTGCCTGGGCGGGTGGCAGCCAGCCCTGGGAAGGTGCTCAAGGTTTAATTATGAACCATAAATGTACCTTCCTTCACTCCAGAAAGCCACCAGTGTCCTCAGCGTGTGTGTCCTTCTTTCTCTTAAACATTTCATGCTACAACGCACAATGTTTGACAACACCACAAGCGCGAGAGCTGAACAACTGTCTCTGGGCAAGCGCCAGAACCACGTTTTTAGAATTTTTACAGCATTTTTAGAATAAAAGACCTCCAAATGCTTCCCTCTGAAAAGTACCACAAAAAATGTTTGGAGGAGGCTCTCCATTCACTTCCTCAGGCAACAGACCTGGTAAAACCCTGAACGATTTGCTACCGAACGCTGAAGTTTAACTGTTAAAACGCACTACAAACCCCAAATACCTGTAGGATACAGAGCACTGCAGAACACGGCTGCTTACAGAAACACCAACAATGGCAAAATAGCACCGAGCAGCCTGAAATGCAACAATACTGAGCTGAAGAGGTGGCTGGGGAAACCCAGTCAACTGTGAGGACTGAGATAACCATCTCCCTTTGCGCTGGGCATTCACAGGTGACAGTGGGACAGTACAGCTGGGAAGAGGGATGCTGCTGTAGTAGCATGAATTTCTCATTTGCGTCTCCAAGAGAAGGCCTGTTTGTCAAGATGGACAGCATCAGCTCACTGTTCCCTTCCCTCCTCTGGCTCAGAGGGCAGGAAACCCCCATCCCAGAGCCGTGCCGTTAGAAACAGCTCTGAACTCGTGTGGCAGCACCAGCAGAGGAACACCACGGGGTCCAAGAAGCATCAACCACAGCATCAACCCAAACACCAGGTTTATCAGACCAGCAGAGGTGGGGCAGGGCTCCTGCCAACTGTCACGGGCAAATGCTGCAGCTCAGCACCTGCTGCTGCTTTAGAGGAACCAGCAGCAGAGAAATGATCATTCCCCATCACATTGCCATCAACAAGGGCTGTAAAAACAACAAAAAACACAAAAAAAACAGCAAGGAAAAGCAAACCAGAAGCAGCCGCTCCACAGGCCAATTTTCCAATTATATACAGGACCCCACAGTCGAGACGAACTTTGCTGTAAGAGGGGAACATCCAGACAGCTGACCCAAGGAAAAAGGCTCGAGCGCTGCTCTGCGGCATGGACCTGCCCTTGAGAGCAGACACAACGTGCCCACGGCTGTGCCTGTCACCTTCCTGGCACTTTACATTTAGAGGGGACGCGCATGTGACTGGGAAAGGATGGACTTTCCAAGCTGTGACCCAGCACAAAGTCAGGTGTGTCTGGAAAGGCAAGAATACAATCAACGCCGTATTTACGCCGAGCCTGTCCCAGCCTGCTGCTGGTGGATGCATCTGATCAATTCAGCGCCTCAGGAAAAAGAAACAGGAGCCAGGCTTGAAGAGCAGCTTGCCAGCCTTTCCGTGCCACTCGTCCACAAGCCCCTCTGAAGCAGGAGAGCACGTCCCTCCTGTCTCTTTGCAGGGGCAATTCCTTGGAGCGGGGCCACAGCAAAGCAGCGTCAGCAGAGTCACACGTAAAAATTTTAAAATTCAATTTTGAAAACATCATCTGACAACGGAAACGTCGTCGCTCTTTCGGGGCTATCGCTGAAAAGCTGCAAGACCTGTAACAAAACGCATGAGGAACTAACTGCGAGTCAGTTTTATCAACAAGGGGCTACAGGTCTAAGCCTGGCTTGGGGAGAATTTAATGGAGCTTATTTACAAACCAGGAGGGGAAAACTGCGTTGGTGAAGGTAAACAGCCTAGACACCCCACAATACTGGCCCACATCATATTCTTTAATATCTAAAAGTAAAAAAATATGGCCCATTCCCACTGCCCTCCCTCCCCCCCCCAATATTTACAAGTAAGATCAGCCAAGATGATACATAAGGAAGATACACAGGCAGACTGTGCTTTCAGTCTCAGTTTGGTTTCTCCATCTTCCTGCTGACAGACTCCTTTATTGCTCGGGACACTGATGGCACCTCGTCCATACGGTCTGTGCCCCCCGGGACGCCGGCACAGCAATCAGCAGGGAGGCTTCGGCAAGCCCTGGCAGTGGACAAAACCTGTGTGGTTCATTGCAGGCTGAATCCCCAACAGAAGGATGACAGGACGTATAATGTATATATTTACAGTCATCCACTCTTTCAGCGCGTGTTCCACTGCAAGAGACTCCAGCATCTGCTGTGTGAGTTGGGAACTGTCAGTGTTGGCGTTTGGCACAGAAGTAACTTCTCATCTGTGGGCTGCAGCGAAACCAAAGAGATCCCAGATGTGGAAAACATGCACTTACGGGAAGGAACTGCACATTCCACCTCGGAACATCGATAGCCAATAGTGTGCACTTACAGAAGGAAAACACACAAATAACAGCTTAAAAAAATTTTTTTAAAAATACAGCCACAAACATTTTGTAAATAAACCAAACTTCATTGCTCTTGGAAATAATACTGTGTCAGTTCCAACTTGGGCTGAAGCCTGCTGGGCACGGCCGGGAAGGTGAGAACGTGTAGCGTGCTGCTTCTGAACATGCCAGGAGGCCCAGTGGAAGAGTCCTCATGAAGGAATGCAGCAAATAAAGGTAAAACATATGGAAACATACGCAGGAACACAGTCTAGGAGCCCTAGGCAATTCCAATACTATGCTTGCAATGATGTGCTGCTGTTAGCAGTATGGAAGTCATCTGACAGCAGCTGCAGCGTAGGAATTAGTCATCAATAGTTGGCAACCAGAAGGCCTACAGAAGAGGAAAGAAAGAACACCTTTTAGAGAGCAGAACATGAATCTCTCCTGCAGCACAGAGCAGGAGCTGATCACTGCTCCCTTCTATAAGCCCAAAGGCAGAGACTATGGAAGAGGCAGCAACGCCCTCCCAGCAGTTTAAGGTTCCACCCTGTGCTTACACTGCTCTCGTGCACAGCACGTTCTCCAGAGCAGGCCACTCTTACACAAACTGAAAATACCAGCCACGTACAGTAACCTAAACAACTCACACTCCGTGTGTGCTTTCACGTGTGTGTTAAACACTGGTTCATCAGGTATGCTGCCCCACATCTACCTGCCAGGTAAGGTGCAATCAATGTGCAACAGACGGGGGCCCAGCTCTGGCCACAGCCCAGGGAAATGCCCATTAGTGGCACTAAAGCCTTCTCACATTCATTTCTAAAATGATCAGCACCTCATTGAGCTAGCAGGAACTTAAAACACTTTCCTTACCATATTAGAACATGCACTAGCAAAAGTCATGAATTTGGGGTTGAACTGCAGACAGGTTATAGGACCTGTGTGTTTCCCATCCAGCACAGCCACCTTCATCCCACTTTCCCCATTCCAAACATGAATCTTCCCATCCTCTGAACCTGCAGACAGGAGTGGAAAACGGGACATGTGAGATATATTGGAGAGGCCAGCAGAAAAAATGAAGTATATAACTTTTTCTGTTAGAGAACTGTAGGGACAAGCATGTCTCGACTTCAGAGCTTCATCTTTAAAATACCCAAATTACAAAACCTCACTGGAGTTTACACACCTGTATCCAAACAGCAGGTTTGTATCACAGTGCAACACGATTCTGGCAAAGGGGTTAACAACTACGGTCACCCAGCAGAAAAGGAGAGCTGACTCCATTCCGTGGAGGAGGAAGGACCCTTGCCCACTTGTACTGATGTGCGAGAGGCCAGAAGCTGGGTGTGAGAGTCACTGTTCACACAAGTTCTCAGTTCAGACACAGTAGGAGATAAAGCTTTCACTTGGTAGGCACAGGATCAAGTCAAAGGCTTCACCACTGAAGGCTACCAGATTTCAATGCACTATGCCAAATACCAGAGGACATCTCACTGGAGACATCGACTCTCCACATTGCCACAACAGGACAGGTTTGTCATTTTTAAATGGCATTTTGCATACCCCTCTGAGGCTGGGCACTTAACATTTTCGTAATTCAATTCTGCTTTAGTCTCATTTTAAATAGGATTCCTAATAAAAGTGCATGATATTTTCTTCTTCTGTATTTATATGTGCAGTGTTTCAGAAAGGAAAAATTAAGAAGCACGAGTTACAGCTCCACCGTATGTAAAAACTGAACAGAAATAAGTGTTTGGGAACTTCTTCCATTTGGAAGGTCACAACAGGAAGGTAAATGTGTGCAATAAAGAGTTCTCTAGAGACAAAACAAACAAAGAACCCCCTGATTTCTCTGCAATCCGGAAGTTCTCAACCAGAACAACAAAAAAGGTTTTGCCAAGACCATCACTCATCCAGGAAAAATGAGGGTCCACCAGGCTGATGGCTACTGCTTCTATGGAGGGTTAAGCAGAGCTTCTTCCACAGACATGGGGATTTATAAGAACTACATGAACAAAATGCAGCTGCCCCAGCACGTCACCAGTGCAGGAACGTCCCCTGGATGTTCCCTGGATCAGGGGATATGCTTGGATCAGTTGTCCAAGCACAACATACAGCCCCAAAACGCTCTGAGGCAGCACATGAGCACATCCTGGACACAGGGTGAGGATCAATGACATCAATTATACGACAGGTCTCCGTGCATTACAACTGTTTACCCATTTCTTATCTTTTTTGAAATAGTATTCATATATAAAGGAAAAAATTAATGTCTTCTTGCAGCCTCATTTACATTTCAGTCTAGAAATGCTGAGTAAACTAACAAAATACAAAAAAGCTTCCAGCTGCACTGTATCATTTAAATACATTCTGCTTCCCAACAGACACAACTTTAGTCCCACGTAACAGACCTCACTTCAGAGCACTGAAATTCTTTCCAAGAAGAATTATCTTACCTATCATGATGAACTGAGAGTCTGGTGTGAATGATGCCTCCAGCGTGACAGCCTTACTATTGTTATAACCCTATGGCACAAAACAGGAGAACAGGCAGTGGAGAGCGTGTCCACAGTGATCTGGCAACCAAAGGACAGTTGTTCCCCAAACTAACAGCAGGTAACACAGGCAAAGTGCTCACCCCAAACGTATGCAGGATGGCTCCTTTAAAGGCATCAATCAGCCGAATGAACCCTCCATTAGTTGATATGAGGATGAGTTTGCCATCGTTGCTGAACTTCAGGCCTGTCCACTCACACGTCCGATCATACTGCATCTTAAACGTAGCAAATGGCCCCTTCAAAGGAAAAATGGGAATTATGATGTAGACTCTGTGCATTGCTGCTAATAAGAGTTTGCTCTTAACCTTAGCTCAGGAATAAGTTCAAGATTTTTCAAAACAAAATCTTTGGTCCTAAGATACCAAAGGAAAGTGTCATTGCAAAAACATGTCACCAGACGTGTTAGTTTCAAAGAAGTGTGAATCCACAGTTTCCATAGCAAAGAAAAGCCACAGAAGGGTGTTTCAATACCCAACAGTCCTGGACTTTACCACATTCAACAGCAGGATTAATTTAAGGTAGGATGAAGTTTTCAAACAAGACTGCTAATTGAAGTTAGAGAAAGAGCCTGAGCCAGTGTTATTGTCACTGACTTTTTGAAAACCATGGAACAAACTATGGTCAGTGCGTAGCCAGTTCAGCTGCCCACCCAATTCATCTCCTTGGAAATTTCCATCTTTCCTGACAATCCTGGCTCCATCTTTGCCAGTTTTCTTCCAGAATAAGCAGCAAGGAAAACAAGCAAACAAAACACAACACCGAAACCCAACAACAACAAAAAGCCTAAAAAGGAGTTTGGAATGGGTTAAAGAGTTAGCAGAAGTAAACTTTAACAGTGGTTCAAGAGTGGATTTCAGGATTTGGTGATGGTTCATACGCCTCTAAGATTAGTACTAACTTAAAACTCTCTAGGTGCAAAGTAGGCACCCTGGGTAATAAACTGGAGTAAAGAAATCCAGCCTCTGAGCACTGAGTTTAGACCAATTCTTTCAAGCTAAAAGGTTTAAGAAGTGAAGTTAGGGTAGGTCACCTTGTCAAAAGATCGGAGATCGTAAAGCTTCACCATTTCAGAATTGACTCCAGCAGCAAAAATCAACCCTTCTGGGTCAAAAGAACACACAGGCTTCCCCTGGAGATGCATTAAACCCTAGAAAATAGAAATTGTCCACATTAATTTGCAAAACTGATGCTCACATTTCTACTACCACCCTTTGAGTCCACTGTGAGCAGGACAGCAGCCTACAGGCACAATAACTGAATTACAACTGTAAATATTGAGGTTTCACAAAAGTTCAGAACTCAGCTTCTCAAAAGCAATTCTGACTACTTCAGGTCATCATACAGAGCTTCCAGTTTGCCACAGTGACAAAGTTTACATTAGAACAAATAAAAAACCCATTTGAGCTGTCATTCACTCAAAAAGTACCCAGAGAAGGGAGGATGTGGCTTTATTAAAAACCACACCAGGCAGTACCACAAAACACTGCTGCTGTGATTAGATTGATAGCCATGCTCTACCAAATATGGGTGCAAAGGAGGGGAAAAAAAAAAAAAAAAGAAAAGGTATTTTGAAAGCAAGTACAAATACCCTCCCCAGTGAACAGCACTGCTGAGCTTTCCACGTCTGTTTAATGAAAACTCATATCTTTTGGAAGCCAACAGACTTTACATATTAAAATTGACAGATTACTATCAATGCTTATTTTTAATGTTAACTTTTTCTGAACCCACATAGTAGAAAAGACTTGAGAAAATTCAGTAAAAGCCAACAGGAGATAATTTTCTGTATCCTGACTGGCAGATCTGTGCATGTCAGCCAAATACCTTTATGTAGCTGTATGCACATAAATAACAACACATCTTTGATTACATCAACAATATGTTTGTTTCTGCATTTCTGAAATACCATTCTTCTCTAGAGAAATCTAGAGACTCTACTACTTCTCTCTCCTTTCCAATTTAGGTCAGTTTTCCCTGCGGTCTCTGAAGACTAGGCAGTCAGCTACCAATATTCAAGGCTCTCACAAGTGGGACATCTCTGGTTTCATGATAATATTTCTTAGGCACCACGGCTGCCATCTCATGGGCAAGTTGAAATTTACAAGCAACACTTCCTCAACCTGTTTCCTAAACTGCTGGGTGCAGCTTCCAGTAACAAATCCCAGTTTTACCACTCTTACAACTTCAGGCATCAGCAAAAATCACAGACCTGCTACTGAAGTTACAACCCTGTCTCATTGGTAGCAACTCAGATTGAGATTCATCCCAATGGAAATCTACAAACTGGCATTAAAGGCATACTCCCAGAGAAAGGCAAAATTCAGATTTTTTTTTTTGTCAGAAAAAGCTTGGGTTTAATACAGATAAAACCATTTTATAGGAAATCTAACCTTTTCTTCCTTTTGCATTTGCAGTTACATAATCGGGAATAAGAACATAGCCCCCTCTCACAAGGAAAATGGTCCCAGTGAGATGGAAAATAGGAGAGCACAACTCTACGTGCCCAGATGTAGGGACAAAACAGCCCATCACCAATAAAAGGTGGAGATTCTACTCCTAGACTTTCATCCCTGCCCATGCTGCCAGCTCTGCTACTTTTCTCAGCCCACATAATCCTGCTTCCACTAAAAAAAAGTACAGTAAGCTATTTCAGCAAAATAAATTTTAAAAAAGCCAAATAGGGTTTTGCCTTGCTAGAAAGCTAAATCTGCTCACAAACAGGTCTGATGAACAACAAAGGTGATGTAAGGAGGGTGTAGACCATCTGGCTGCTGTGTTCCTTTAGATCATCAGCTTCTTCATCAAATTTAATTGCATCAATTTTAAACACAAACACACTGTAACTACCCAGATAAAATGCATCTCCCAATGCCCCTTCTGCTGCCATTCCCAACCCAGGAGCGATGCCAGCTGAGAGAGAACACTCTCTGCATGGGGGTAGCAGCCTGATGAAGAAGCTGAAGGGTGACACCCAGCTCTTCTCTTGTTTCATCAACTGCGGGTGCTATTTCTTGCTCTTCCCAGCAGAGACACAGGTGAAAGTGAGTGGTGTTACACAATGTGACATACATTTTTCACGGAGATTTGTGATCAAGGCTCCTTCACATTCCAGGAAGGTGTGAACACTAAACCAGCAGCATACATTTTGGACAGTATTTTTGTTTTATAACAAGCAGACATCCATTTTTCATCCTTCTAAGTGGAAGTGCAACACACCAAGCACATGAATTTGACATCCTACCTGGCAATTTGGAGAACGGAGATCCCAAAGTCGAATAGTTTTATCAAGGGATCCAGAAATAAAAGTGTCATCCACTGGAGACATCGAAAGAGCAACCACTCTGCAACACAGGAGACCACGTGCATCAGAAACACACAAAAGACGTGAATGGAGCAACACCCACCCCAGCAGTTGTGTACAAGCTCCTAATTGCCATGAATAGTTCTACAAAGCAAAAACTAGAGTGAATCGAGTGTAACATAACTCACCCTCGTTACAATCATTATTTCAATTTCTCCTGTAATGGGTCCAAACCACATCTTACCTTTTTGTATGCCCTGGGAAATACCGAATGTATTTGTTGTCGTGCAGGGAGAGGTATCGGATTGTATCTGAAAATATAAACAAACCATAAACTTTATTATACCATGAACCCAACCTCATCTAAAATGGTCACACAGTAAACTTGCTCCCCACAGCAACAGCAATTTTGCCACAGTAAGTCTGGTCATTCAATTTCAAGTCAGACTTTGAAACAGAATCAAGTTAGAAACAGACATAAAGCATAAAACAAGGCAAAATCAGGAATCAGGCACCAGGAAAAGATACTTCCCACAGTCTCAAGTCATATTACAGCTTAAAGGCAAACTGTCATGTGATTTATGTAAGTTAATGTCAAAGCTGCTCAAATTTAAGTACCGGTAGGTTTTATTTCAACATTCTCACAAAATGGAGAGTATCAAATTTACAAAGTTGATACTACCACTTTTTTTTTTTTGCTATACAGTATGAATCTTGCTGTCTTACCAATGTACACGTCCAGCAAGTAAGGCTCCAACCAAGCACTAAGCACAGAAAATGTGCAAATTCTAGCACTTAGCCAAAAACAAGATAAAAACATGACCCTCAAAGCCAGGACAAGACCATTAAAAAGCAGCAAATCTTTTTTCTTTTTTCAATCTGACAATCAACAGCTTCCCACAATCTCAGCGCTTAGAGCAACTAAGCTTTAAGAAGAGGACAGAGGAGTCATCTAAAGCTCAGTTCACTTAAAGGCAATCTTAAAAACATACTGAATAAATCAGAGCGGCATCTCAACATTTCTCAAGTGGTAATTTTATTCTGAGTGACTATAGATGAACATACCAAGAGTTGCCCAGAATTTTGGGAGATGCTTCCCCCCAAGGTTAAAAGGTATCTTTGTAAGAAGAAACAATTACTAAAGCACAGAAGCCCCTTTTTAATCTTTATGTGCAAATCCATCTGAGTGATGAAACATGAAGAGCACGAACTAAACCTCTGCTATGGGAAAGCAGCATCAGCAAAATCCCTTCTCACACTTGGTGAGTCCTCACACTCACTGTTAGGTTTTTGCTGGATGGGAGAGATGTGTATTATGCACCTGCACCATATAGTGCCAACAGACTCTGTGCTGCTGTAACACCAAGTCCTGCTGAAGCTCCAGAAATTATCTGAGGGAAAAGGACATTTTTACTTTTGACTCAGAAGAACAAGAGCCAACAGGATGCAATATGCACAGAGCATTTTAAAACTCCTAAAAGCTACTGTGTTAAGAGCTTTTTGAAAAGTTCATTCAGCAAAATCCAGTTTCTGTGAAAAAATTATCAAGTTACCATTTTTGCCTTTGGTTTCACATCAAGCTGAGATCAGAGTTCTAGACCACCCTCCAGTATTTGACAAGAAAACTAAAGCTGCCTGATCCAACTGGAAACATGATGCTGGTGACACACCATTCTGAAAGGCTCCAAATGACCCGAGGTGAGTATCCAAAACATGAATCCCCAACACCACTGTCACACCCCATCACGGCGAGAACCGATACGCTTCAAGCATGTTGTTAAGACACATCAAGTTTTTCCTGCCAGAAGTGTCATTACCTGATTTCTGAAGTATCCATGCAGAATTTCATCTTCCTTTGCTGAAGATGAAGCACTGGGGAACTGTGATCCTTTGTGATCCTTTTTGTTGGCAGCGCTCTGTCCCAGGCAAGGCAGTGGCCTGTACAGTTATCTCCTGTACCGGGTGGTATCATAGACCCTCAAACTGTACAAACTACTACCTCAGCCTGGAATCAGGCAAGAGGCTCAAAGGTCTTGAGGAAATCTTCTGAAGTGGATTGGTAGCAACTCAACACATAAAATGCTTGGGAGCAGCATTTCCTATAACACATTCCCGGGTTTATTTTCCCTCCCAATAACTGTGTAACAGGTTAAATACAATGCATTTTGCCCAAGAAAGCATGCGTTAGGGACTACAGAGTACCTGGACCCATACAGAACACACCGCTGGTTTTATTAGGCTAAAAGTTTGTAACAGCAACAAATACTTTCATATTCCATCTTTTTCTTCTCTTCTAAACAAGTTTTTATTACAATGCTACCTCACAGGATGAAAACTCTTAAGTTTCAGTTCCTCAAAAGCTTACCGGTGCTTATAAACAAAACCTCACAACGGCATTAAAAATGTTTCATTAAATTGTCAATTACTTGTAAAATAAATAATAGCCAAGTCAGAAATGTGACACAACAAAGTAATAATTTAATTAAAAAAGAAAAATGTAGGCTACAAAACAGATTAAAAAGGCAAGTGCTTCCCCACATATTTTAATCCTTTTACACCATTATATCCAATTCTGTTGGATAGTTCCTTGTTCCTCTAGTTTCAGGCCCAACTTGATCTAGTTTAACCTGACTTCTTAACTTGTAACTCCCACCTGCTCTAAATTCATACTCTTTAAAATTCCTTAAGTAACCCAGCGCACACCACAAGGCACCAGTAACTCCATTGTCAAACTTATCTCTGCAAAGGAAAAAAATAAAAACCCCACCACTCCAGAAATGATTTGAGTTTATAAATGGATTTTAGCATTGCAATTGTAAAGTGCTGTGCTAAGAGACTTGTTCACTGAAAAACTCTGAGACGCTGACCACAACAAACAAAATTGGGACAAAATTTGAAATGAGCACTAGCTGTTTCCAACCTTTGGAAGTATTACCTGATAGAAGAATCAGTGTACCTATCTGTGCTAGTTCTTAAACCTGAATTTTAAATTAAACTCAAATACATTAACAGACAGACTGTCGTGAAGCTCTAGAAGCCCTTCGATGTCTTTCATTTACAGAGTGTAGCTATCACAGACACTTACTGTGGAGAAATGGCATTAATTTATTTTTTTTTGTCTATGACATGGAAAAAACAGATTAACAGAAGCAAAACTAATCTCAGAAAAGCTCTATGAGCTCCCCCAGGCTTGGCTGATGATCTGCTGAGTTACCCAAATTTCCTGCCTTCCCTGCTGCGTACGGAGAATGGAAAAACATTCCCTTCCTTTGCAGTTGACTTGTGTGTGTACCAGACAGAGATACAGCGGGCCACATCTTCCTCCTACCTCATTTCACGCATAAAAAATTCAGGCACAGAGGCTGACTGGTGGCACTGGTATCAAACAGCAAAGTGAACAGCAGAATCAAGCGTAAAAATTTTAAAATTCAATTTTGAAAACATCATCTGACAACGGAAACGTCGTCGCTCTTTCGGGGCTATCGCTGAAAAGCTGCAAGACCTGTAACAAAACGCATGAGGAACTAACTGCGAGTCAGTTTTATCAACAAGGGGCTACAGGTCTAAGCCTGGCTTGGGGAGAATTTAATGGAGCTTATTTACAAACCAGGAGGGGAAAACTGCGTTGGTGAAGGTAAACAGCCTAGACACCCCACAATACTGGCCCACATCATATTCTTTAATATCTAAAAGTAAAAAAATATGGCCCATTCCCACTGCCCTCCCTCCCCCCCCCAATATTTACAAGTAAGATCAGCCAAGATGATACATAAGGAAGATACACAGGCAGACTGTGCTTTCAGTCTCAGTTTGGTTTCTCCATCTTCCTGCTGACAGACTCCTTTATTGCTCGGGACACTGATGGCACCTCGTCCATACGGTCTGTGCCCCCCGGGACGCCGGCACAGCAATCAGCAGGGAGGCTTCGGCAAGCCCTGGCAGTGGACAAAACCTGTGTGGTTCATTGCAGGCTGAATCCCCAACAGAAGGATGACAGGACGTATAATGTATATATTTACAGTCATCCACTCTTTCAGCGCGTGTTCCACTGCAAGAGACTCCAGCATCTGCTGTGTGAGTTGGGAACTGTCAGTGTTGGCGTTTGGCACAGAAGTAACTTCTCATCTGTGGGCTGCAGCGAAACCAAAGAGATCCCAGATGTGGAAAACATGCACTTACGGGAAGGAACTGCACATTCCACCTCGGAACATCGATAGCCAATAGTGTGCACTTACAGAAGGAAAACACACAAATAACAGCTTAAAAATTTTTTTTAAAAATACAGCCACAAACATTTTGTAAATAAACCAAACTTCATTGCTCTTGGAAATAATACTGTGTCAGTTCCAACTTGGGCTGAAGCCTGCTGGGCACGGCCGGGAAGGTGAGAACGTGTAGCGTGCTGCTTCTGAACATGCCAGGAGGCCCAGTGGAAGAGTCCTCATGAAGGAATGCAGCAAATAAAGGTAAAACATATGGAAACATACGCAGGAACACAGTCTAGGAGCCCTAGGCAATTCCAATACTATGCTTGCAATGATGTGCTGCTGTTAGCAGTATGGAAGTCATCTGACAGCAGCTGCAGCGTAGGAATTAGTCATCAATAGTTGGCAACCAGAAGGCCTACAGAAGAGGAAAGATGAACACCTTTTAGAGAGCAGAGCACGAATCTCTCCTGCAGCACAGAGCAGGAGCTGATCACTGCTACCTTCTACAAGCCCAAAGGCAGAGACTATCGAAGAGGCAGCAACACCCTCCCAGCAGTTTAAGGTTCCACCCTGCTCTCGTGCACAGCACGTTCTCCAGAGCAGGCCACTCTTACACAAACTGAAAATACCAGCCACGTACAGTAACCTAAACAACTCACACTCCGTGTGTGCTTTCACGTGTGTGTTAAACACTGGTTCATCAGGTATGCTGCCCCACATCTACCTGCCAGGTAAGGTGCAATCAATGTGCAACAGACGGGGGCCCAGCTCTGGCCACAGCCCAGGGAAATGCCCATCAGCAGCACTAAGCCTTCTCAGATTCATTTCTAAAACGGTCAGCACCTCATTGAGCTAGCAGGAACTTAAAACACTTTCCTTACCATATTAGAACATGCACTAGCAAAAGTCATGAATTTGGGGTTGAACTGCAGACAGGTTATAGGACCTGTGTGTTTCCCATCCAGCACAGCCACCTTCATCCCACTTTCCCCATTCCAAACATGGATCTTCCCATCCTCTGAACCTGCAGACAGGAGTGGAAAACGGGACACGTGAGATATATTGGAGAGGCCAGCAGAAAAAATGAAGTATATAACTTTTTCTGTTAGAGAACTGTAGGGACAAGCATGTCTCGACTTCAGAGCTTCATCTTTAAAATACCCAAATTACAAAACCTCACTGGAGTTTACACACCTGTATCCAAACAGCAGGTTTGTATCACAGTGCAACACGATTCTGGCAAAGGGGTTAACAACTACGGTCACCCAGCAGAAAAGGAGAACTGACTCCATTCCGTGGAGGAGGAAGGACCCTTGCCAACTTGTACTAATGTGCAAGAGGCCAGAAGCTGGGTGTGAGAGTCACTGTTCACACAAGTTCTCAGTTCAGACACAGTAGGAGATAAAGCTTTCACTTGGTAGGCACAGGATCAAGTCAAAGGCTTCACCACTGAAGGCTACCAGATTTCAATGCACTATGCCAAATACCAGAGGACATCTCACTGGAGACATCGACTCTCCACATTGCCACAACAGGACAGGTTTGTCATTTTTAAATGGCATTTTGCATACCCCTCTGAGGCTGGGCACTTAACATTTTCGTAATTCAATTCTGCTTTAGTCTCATTTTAAATAGGATTCCTAATAAAAGTGCATGATATTTTCTTCTTCTGTATTTATATGTGCAGTGTTTCAGAAAGGAAAAATTAAGAAGCACGAGTTACAGCTCCACCGTATGTAAAAACTGAACAGAAATAAGTGTTTGGGAACTTCTTCCATTTGGAAGGTCACAACAGGAAGGTAAATGTGTGCAATAAAGAGTTCTCTAGAGACAAAACAAACAAAGAACCCCCTGATTTCTCTGCAATCCGGAAGTTCTCAACCAGAACAACAAAAAAGGTTTTGCCAAGACCATCACTCATCCAGGAAAAATGAGGGTCCACCAGGCTGATGGCTACTGCTTCTATGGAGGGTTAAGCAGAGCTTCTTCCACAGACATGGGGATTTATAAGAACTACATGAACAAAATGCAGCTGCCCCAGCACGTCACCAGTGCAGGAACGTCCCCTGGATGTTCCCTGGATCAGGGGATATGCTTGGATCAGTTGTCCAAGCACAACATACAGCCCCAAAACGCTCTGAGGCAGCACATGAGCACATCCTGGACACAGGGTGAGGATCAATGACATCAATTATACGACAGGTCTCCGTGCATTACAACTGTTTACCCATTTCTTATCTTTTTTGAAATAGTATTCATATATAAAGGAAAAAATTAATGTCTTCTTGCAGCCTCATTTACATTTCAGTCTAGAAATGCTGAGTAAACTAACAAAATACAAAAAAGCTTCCAGCTGCACTGTATCATTTAAATACATTCTGCTTCCCAACAGACACAACTTTAGTCCCACGTAACAGACCTCACTTCAGAGCACTGAAATTCTTTCCAAGAAGAATTATCTTACCTATCATGATGAACTGAGAGTCTGGTGTGAATGATGCCTCCAGCGTGACAGCCTTACTATTGTTATAACCCTATGGCACAAAACAGGAGAACAGGCAGTGGAGAGCGTGTCCCAACCAAAGGGCAGTTGCATGATGAACTGAGAGTCTGGTGTGAATGATGCCTCCAGCGTGACAGCCTTACTATTGTTATAACCCTATGGCACAAAACAGGAGAACAGGCAGTGGAGAGCGTGTCCAC